GTGACCACTGGGCCTTCATTTCTGGATCACAGCCACACACCCATATTTCATCTCCAATTTTGACCATCTTGAGAAATTCTGGTTCATTGGTCTCAGTTTGAATCAATCATTAGCAAGTGGAGCACGATGTTCCTTCTGCTCAGGTAGCAGAGGCCACTGAAGGGATTTTCCCATGCTAAGATCCTGCATCAAAATCTAAGACACAGAGGAGGAAGGTGGCAGTGATGTAGGAGGGAGCAGATTCCACTTTTTCGTACACATGGGAGAAAATCCTAGCTGATCTATGGAGGAACAGAACAAACAGCCAACAATGCCTGAGCATATATGAAAATAAAAGACCAAAAATTGTAGCGGATGTTGAAAAAAACAGATGGTAAGCAGAGTACTTCAGTACAATATGGTCCCAGGGACCAGTGCAGCAACCAGGGTGGCTGCAGCCCCAGGCCCAGCACTCCCTGGTTCTGCCACAAGGTACTTGGGAGAGAGCTGAGTTGGCTGCTCCCTCCCCAGCAAATTGAGGTTTGAGCTGTACCTGAAGAGACCTGGTTGCTTGAAGTTGCAAGAGGGGAATAAGGACTAAGTGACCAACACACAGGGGCTGTGAGCACCCAGGGAGTCTGTGGACACCCACTGGGGAGAGTTGAGAGTCGGGCCTTAATGGGCTTTGATCCAGTTAGTCCCAAGTCTGGCTGGAGAATTGGGCTGTGCGGGACACCAGTCTGCTGTACATGGGGGCAGGCTTGAGTAGGAGGAATTTCTCAAAAAGCAAAAGTGAAGAAAGAGACAACGTTTGGGGAATTCTCCTCCAGCAGTCACTCTGGCCTCCCCCACACCCAGCTGGGCAGTGTGGAAGCCTGAGCCTGCATTCTTGTAGCCCTGGGAAGAGTCCTTGCCAGAACCCATGGGACCTGAAGCCACCTTGCCAAGGGCGTGGGCTAACAAACTGGGGAGAGTGCACTCTGAAAAAGGCCAGGAGCCCACACTTGTAACTCGGGGAAGAGTGTGGTCTGAGGAAGGCCTGGATCCCACAGCAAAAGCCCAGGGAGAGAGGCCAGGATAGTCCTGGGGAGAGTGCACAGAAGGCTGACTGAGTGCTGATCAGGAAGGGAGAAAGACAAATACCATATGACCTCACCTTTAACAGGAACCTAAACAACAAAACAAACAAGCAAGCAAAATATAACCAAGCACACTGAAACAGAGAACAGGCTGACAGTGACCAGAGGGGAGAAGGGAGGGAATTTCAGGGGAAAAAGGGAAGGGTTTACAGGAACAACTATAAAGGACACAGGGACAAAAAATAACTGGGGGTGCAAATGTGATGGAGGTGGGGAGCACTGGGGGGGTGGTCTAGGATGGGAGTAAAAGACAGAAAACTGAACTTGAAGAACATTTAAAATAAAACAAAGTCTAAGACACAGTAGTTTTTGGAATCCGCAGATAAGTTGCTAGTTCTTGCATTGTCAGTCCCCCATCTTTATTCATTGCAGACATTACATGCTCAGCATTCTCAGGTGTTTTGTTGGTTGTAGACCTTCCAGGACATGGGTTACTTTTAGTAGATACTCAACCACCTTTGAAGCATTTCTGCCACACTTTTTGCTTGCACTGCACTCACTGCATCATCTCTGAAAGCCTTCTCAATCATCCAGTAGTTTCCATGGAGGAATATTTAAGCTTATCACAAAATTTGGTGTAGGTTCATTGCTCTATACTTCTTCAGTCATTTTGAATGTGACAGCCACACAGTACACATGGTCAATCAGTGGCGTCTACTGCCCCCACTGAATAGTACACTGCAGTTGTCATTGTTCACACGTGTGCATTCCAGTCCACTATCCTTGGCTGCCGTGTTACAATAATGTCACACAAACCATTTTCATTACATTAACAATGGCTGGACTTTTCTCAGACAGGTCTCATTATATACAACTATAGGAGCCTGGTATTTTAAAAAGTCACATTGAAGCAAAAACAGTAAGTAGTAGTAGTAGTATTTTTCATAAGCCAATCAAAATTATACCTATGTTTTTTAAAATCAGCAAAAAATACTTTTTTGGTGTGCCACAGAGTTTTAGTAATTAGTTAATTGTGCCATGAGAGGTGAAAGGTAGAATATCGCTGGTATAATGACAGAGACATCTACTATGTGATTAGTATTTGGGTAACACAAATGCTGTGAATAACCCATATATTCTTTATTTCTTTTAATTCTTACTCTATGAGAAGGTGGATGTTAGCTGAACCTATTGTGATAATCATTTTGCAGTATGTGCAAATTAAACATTATGCAGTAAATTTTTGTTCCTTTTGATGCTCATGTGTCATTTAAATTGTCTTCCAGAAGGCCACTTTTTCTGTCTTTCCCATCTTATTAATAAGGAAAAACATTAAATTACTTTTATTTCCCTCCTACATAGTTAGATTTGTGCTTTTGTCATTTAAAAGAAGTATTCCTATTAAATTACAGACAATTAGTAGTGATTTGAAAATGAATCAACAAAAATGTAATTAGTACTTACATAACAATTTAATCTCTGCCATAGTGCTATAGTTCAATATCATTTAATGTTTTATCTTTCACAGAGATATTATCTTTACCAAGGGAAATCTAAATAACAGGTACTAACAATAAAATGAATGAAGGAATCTTAAGAACTGAGGCAAGAAATGGAGAAAAAGTATGGGATTAGTGATTGTGACAGTTACCATAGCAGTGAAAATGTAGTGATTTTTCAGAATATTGCCAACAAGTATCATCAAATATCTATTCTTTATGGAATTATGATTTTAAAATTGTTTCCATTGTAATAGAAATGCCATAATGAGAATATAAGAAAGAGAAATATGTAAAGGCAAAATTAAATAACCCTGTCTAGGAGTAGAATTTACACATACAAGATATTCTTAACCAGGCCTAAGAGTTCAGAGTCTGTGATTAAGATGGAAGTAAGCTCACAGCATAAGTGGTCCAGTCTTTGTCCCCTAAAACCTTTCAGATTAAGAAAACAATTTCCAGATACATTTGCCAAAAAACAACCTGAATGTACACTACCAGCCCAAAGACTCCGAGAATCTGGAGGTGTGTGATGAGATACACACTGTTCAAAATAGACCCAGTGTAAGAATTTCCTCTTCAAACATTAGGTGACACATTATTGACAAATCTGCTTTTTGAACTCATGCCTCACTCTGAGCCTCCACAGGTCAGTCTGTGAAGACCACAGAGATTGTTTGTTTACAAGAGTTAGCTGGTCTCCCACTAAAGGATGCAGGACTTTCTGGCCTTCAGAAGGTATGTGTGTGTCTGCCCTCTCCTGTCTCTGTCTTAGCCCATCTCATGTAGGGGGAGATTACAACATAAGATGTCATATCAGTGAGGTACAATTGATATACAATCAAATCAAAGAGAATGTTGGTATTTTATTTAAACAATTTAGAGTAAAATGTCAAGAATAAAATATGAAATATGTTGAAGGATATCTTGAACTATTCAAATTCTTGCCTGTAGACAATTACTCAATTGTATATACACAAGAATAATTGAGTATGTTAATCAAAACCATTTGAAGTAAAAATCGTATAAGAATATGAAAAGGAACAGCTATTTTTTGATTTTATAATCAATATAGATATAATTATTATTTTCTCTTTAGCCCAGCCTCTGAAAAGAGATGTTGAAAAAAATTCTATTAATTATAGAAGTCAAACATAATATTTTATCCACTTAATTAGATTAAATAAATGCAGTTGGCTTTCAATAAAAATCAGGATGAAGTACTGTCATAAAATTCTAACTGAATCTTAATTATAAACAATCAAAAGACTATTTAAAAATTGAGTCTCCATTGCTAGAGATCATACTACACTGATAGACACTTTGAATAATGAATTAAGCTACAGCATTCAAGTGGTATGTATCAGAAATAAGATAAAAACTGTGTTCAAATTATATTAGGATAACTAAAATATTTTGGAGAGCTTAAAAGGGGTGAAATATTAAGTTTTACATGTATTATGTATACATATTTTTATTCCCACTTTATATTAGTAAACTATGTTGCTAGACACTAAGTTGCTTTGTAAAAGTCATACATTTCCAATTTCAAAGCCAGAATTAATTCTACAACTCACTAGCCACAGAGCCCGTTGACTGAATTATTAAATTGCACCATCTGATTCATTACTGTGGCTCACACAACTGAAGGTGCCCTGAGTTTAACATGCATGAGAACTTTCTGGAAGTTTGAAACAACAGTGTTCTAATATAAATGATCTACACATTTATTTTACATTTTATGCTTTTATATCTTTGTCTTTAACTCAATTGCCAATTTCTTCTGTAACATAAGTGTTTAAAAATATCACTTTGTTTTCAATATGTTTAAGTCTTGAATAAGTTTAGCATGACAAAGATCTTTTAACATATGAAACATTTTTATTCATAATAGAAGATCATTTGCTAACAGCTCATCCTCTTTAATGAATAAATGTATGTCACTAAATAAAAATTTAGTCAGAAAATTACTAGATATGCCAACATGATTAGTGCCCCATTTTGAGGGCACTCAGTCTTTAATCATTATTCAACTTCCAATTTATCATAAATATTGTGAGTCTCTTTTATCTAATATTGCATTTTATTTTTCATACTAGCATTCTAATGTTACAATATTTCTGTAGAATCTGAGATTAAATTAACAAGGATGTTATTTATGAAATTATTTTATTCATCGCTAACATACAGCTTTTTATTGCTCAAGCAAATAATATATTGTCAAATGTAGAATATCTTAAAAATTGTATCTACCATGAGGCACTTGTTTAAAGATCTAAGAAATCTATAAGCACAACATCAGGTTCTTAACTGGGAAATGAGCCAGATACTCACCCTGTACCCTGCCCAGTGTCACTGTGAGGGATCTCTTCAGTATGTGTGTCACTTATATGTGAGCACACACATTCTAGAGCACAGTCTCAGCCACCACTCAGCTGCAGAGATGAGTGACCAGAGAGTAACCTACGCAGAACTGAATCGGGTTAAGGATGCAAAGAGACAGCACATAAAACCTGAGGGCACTAAAGGCTCCATTCCAGGAACTGAGCAGGAACTAACCTATGCAGATTTAAATCTTCAAAATGCTTCTCAGGATCTTCGAGGGAGTGACAAGAATGACCACTGCAAAGATAACACATTCGACAGACACCGTATAACTGTTCTTGGATGTGCAGCTGGGTGCAGAGGTGTGGGTAAGAGAAGGGGATAAGCTCACATATTTTTTCATCTTCAGGATCAGGACTTGAAGTTGGAATGTGGTATTCTCAGATAGAAGCTGTGGACTAATTTCATTCAGACATTGTTGTAGGCTGTAATCTTTGACCATTAACTCATAGAGCATTATATTTAGTGAAAATGCATTGTATATTCTGAGAGGAAGATTACAGTGGTAGATATGGTCTTGGGGTACAAGTGTCTGTACATGATTCTCTGTGTGTAAACCATCCAAACAATTGTCTCCATCCCTCCTTTCTCAGTGTTTCCATTTCCCTCCCTGCAGCATCCCCTTCACTTCCAGAGAAGGTCATTGCTGGGACCCTAGGGGTCATCTGTTTTGTCCTGATGACCACTGTGGTGACAAGAGCTGTTAATCAACGTAAGTAAATAATTGTAAGATTATATGAAACTCTTCACTGTTAACATCACTGCCTCCATCAGTGCCATGATGTTCATCACTGCCATGAACATCAGTGCCTCCAAACAGTTCCATATTAGAAAATACAACTCTCATTTCAAAGTATGCCTTTAGAGTAAGTGCAAAATTCTTATTCTGAATTTGTCCAGGGGATAAATAACTATTATTTAGAAAAGTAGTTTATTTAAGTCCTTTGCCTACTTTTTAACTGGGTTGTGTGTTGTCCTGGAGTGGAGTCATGTGAGTTCCTTATATGCTTTGAAGATCAAACCTTTGTCAAGATAACATTGGCAAATATATTTCACAAATGTTCATAACAACACAGTTTACAATAACCAAGTTGTGGAACTTACCTAAGGCCTCCAGTAAATGAGTGGATAAAGAAACTGTGGTACATTTACACAATGGAATACTATTCAGCCAAAAGAAAGAAGGATCTCCTACACTTTGTGACAGCATGGGTGGAACTGGAGAGCATTATGCTAAGTGTAATAAGCCAGGATGTAAAAGACAAATACCATATGATCTCAGCTATAAGTGTACCTAATGGATAAAACAAACAAGCAAGTAAAAGATAACCAGAAACATTGAATTGAAGAACAAACTGACAGTAACCAAAGAAGAGTGGGGAGAGGGATAATGGGGGAGAATAGGGGAAGGCCATCAAGGAACAGGTATAAAGGACACATAGACAAAGCCAAAGGGAATAAGTTTGAGGGTGGGAGGTGGAAATGGGTGAGATCGGTGGCCTAAATGGGGTGAAAATGGAGACAATTGTATTTGAACCACAGTCAATAAATAATAAATAAAAATGTCAAAAAATAGTTTATATATATACTTATATATCCCACATATCCAGAGATATTCTTATGTTATAATTCAAGGCATGCATTAGGACACCTTATTAAGAAATACAAATAAATTCTTCATACTGATTAATCCAAATAGTGTAAGAATTAGTGGAGCTTGATACTTAAGACTTTTGAATGTTTTCTCCCAAATTATCATAGCTTCATTAATTTTTCTTTAAAATCAATTTTATTCCAGGCCATTATAATCCTGGACTATATACCACATTTCAAAGTAAGAAACAAAAGTATTTTAATTTATGTAGATCACCATTACATTTTTGTAATAATTACTTCTTCTCTAGCTAATGTAATACTGGTAAAGAATAATTCTTCTTTCATGTACATAATATAAATTATATATTATTTTAACAGCAAGCCAGAGAAGGAACAAGACAGGGAATGAGACAACAGGGAACCAGAAAGGTACCTAATTATTTTCTATGTTCTGATATTAATACAGTTCCTACCTTGTCTCTAACACAATCAAAATTTATAGGTTTTATATTTTTAGTGGGGGAACATAAATTATAACACAGGGATAAATATATATAAATAATGAATATAGAAAAGTGTATGTTTATTCAAAAATATAAAGAAATATTAATTTAATTTATCGTACTCATTTTTGCCAGTTGGTTGAAAGATAACTTTGGTTTCTAAAAATGCGGTTTCAGTCAGTGACATTCAGGACATATAGAAAGTGGATTTTTTTTTGTGTGTTTGCTTAATATGGGCACATAAATTAGGGAATGAGGGGCAGTCCCCTCTCTGTGAGTATGTATGAGTGTATTATGCTTTATATATGCAAGTCTGTGAAGGTATTTACATATACTGTGCACTAATTTGTCTATACCTGTGCAAATACAGAAATTAATTTTCATTTTACAATTCATATCATTCTTTGATGACAATACATAATCTTTCCTCAGCATATCATTGTGGTCGATGTCCACCAGAGTGGTTAATGTATTCCAACAACTGCTATTACATCAGCGCTGAAGTAAAAACATGGAATGAGAGTCTGATGGCCTGTGCTTCTAAGAACTCTAACCTGATCTACATAGATAATGAGGAAGAAATGGTAAGATTTTTAATGTTTCCAACATTTTATTTGAAAGAGCATTTTATTTTATATTTCTATGGAATTCATTCATATTTTTGTATATATCTGTAATTTATTGTAAAGACTGTTAGTATTTTATTGTTTGAATCTATATTTGATTCATATTTTATGCCTTTAATGTGTATTAGATAATTTTCAGTTCTTGATTTTCATACACAATCATGCTTCTATAAATGCTTTTTTTCCTAAAGTAAAATTTGCTACTTAATTGTATCAAGCATCATGGAGACTATAGATGTGATTGTGTGTGTTACACAGACTGAAATTGGTCATGAAGTAGATGTTGCCAGCCCGCTCCTGTGCACTTTCTCACAACTTCTCCTCTCCCCTCACTCAACCACTGTTCCTATATTTTATATCATAAATTGTCTTTTCTTAATTTCGAATTTTATATAATGGGAATCATTCATAATGCATTTTACATGTCTCTGTTACCTCCCACATGACTGTTTTTCAATTAACTCATATTATTGAATGTCCCTGAAGTTTGTTACTTCTCACTGCTATATTGTACATATCTCACATTCTGTAATCCATTCTGCTCAGAATAGAGATATTTTTAACATGTGGTTGCTATGAGTAATTATTTAATAAAAATCTTTGTGTATGTCTTTTTCCAAATATGTCATATTTATAATAGTTTATATACAATAATACATATAATATATAAATTGATATACTGTTATGTTTATAATAGTATAATAATAATTTATAAATATAGTTTTTCTAATGGTGTATGTGTATAATTAAAATATATGGCCTTTTTGCATTAGAATGAAATTGCAGGGTCAAAAATATATGTGTATGTAAATTATTCCTGCACTTTCTACTTTGTTGTATAAATACACATTATATCCAATAGTTTCATGATCCAAAGCTTAGTACTGCCAGAAATTTTAATGCCATCAGCTCTGATCATTATATAAAACCATCATTATGGCTTTAATGGGTATTTTTCTCATACTGATCAACTGAGCACGTGTCTTAGAGCACCATTCATTATGAATTTCTGTACTGTGAGAATGAAAAGTGCCCATTCATGTCTCTTGACCATTTCTCCTGTATATTACTTGTTATTTTCATTCTTAGAAGTAGTTATATTTTTCATAAGACTCTTTTTTGAATTTGCGAGATGCAAATGGCATTCTTGACTTTTAATTATATTTTTCTTCTCCTATTGGAGTTTTTTAATGGCCAGGATTTATTGATGTTACCATCGTCCAATATCTTATTTAGATGTTGGTGATTATTTTGGACATATTTCACAAGTTGATCAAAGTCCATGAAGATAATCTACTGCATTACTCTTTATGGTTTATCTTTTTACTTTCTGATGAACTTTTAGTTTTAGGCTTATAATACTTTGAGAATGTGTATTTTTGTGATGCTGTGTTTGTGATGCTGTGTGGTAGAGGTGAAGTTTTTTCTTTTCTGCATCATTACCTAGTTGATACAGCATAATTCATCACAGATAACCTTTTCTACATAAACAACTATGTGTACATGGGTCTATATATTTTAACATAATATTTAAGAAGATGATCATTCATTGTGTCTCAAAAATTGTTTTGTCTTCTTTTGTCTTTCTTTTTGTTCATCGGCAATAATTACACCTAAGTTGGTTTTACTGATAAAGTTCTATAAAGGTCTCCGAGATTCCATTAATTTTTCTATCTCTTTCTCTCTACCTTCATGAATTATTTCTGTCACTCCATCTTTATTTCATCAATTCTTTCCTCTACATCTCAACATTTATGTAAATGTATTGAATTTTGTATTGTAGATAATGATATTTCAACTGATAATTTTATTGAATTCATCCATACAGTTTTTATTTCCCTAATTGTTCAGTCACTGCCATCATATTTCCATAGAGTTACTTGAAAATAGTTTTTAAAATACATTTTAGGTTAATATATATTTGTAATAAGTAGTATTAAATATTTATATAAGAAATCCATCGTCTTATCCCAGTGAAAGATATTTTGTATGGCTGATTTGTCCCCCTGAGTATGGAAGATATCTTTAGTTTCATTGCATGGTTTTAAAATTTGGGTAAGTCCACATTGTCAATAACAGTACAATAAACATGGATCCTCCTACATGCCTGTTAGATTTATACTTTTGTTACTTCAGTAAACTGTTACTGTAGAATCATCTCCTTTGAAGTGTGCTTACTCAGTTTTTAAAATTCTTGCTCTTATTTTATTTTTAGGGTCAATTACTGGGATTCCCCTTGGGCCTGCATAGCTTACTTGGCAACCAATGATTTGTAAAAATGTATTCAAATACCTTAAGTCAGTATGGCTCCATTTTCTTCTAGTTGATGTGTGTGTGTGTGTGTATTTGAAAAGAAGTACTCACAATTTTAAAATCAGTTCTTGAATTAACTTTGACCTATATTTTTATCAGATTATCTTTGTTTCTTCTACACAGTGCAAATATTTTTCCCACCAACCAAGTAGGTGTAGAGAGTTAATATCACCTTTGTACTGTGCTCTCATATTGAGTACCTTCCTGTTTATAGCTGGCACTGTGCTGACACAGATGAGAAAAAGGGTGCTCATCTTCATTTTTAACCTAGTGAATTCAGCACTTTGACCTGAAAAAGGAGTGGGCAGTTTAACCACCACTCCCAGAGTAAACAGACTTCTCCTGTGGCTACACTAGTGGTGTTTCAGTGTTTCCCAAACAGTAAGAATTACTCTTCTTACTCAGGAACTGAGATGGGTATTAGGGGAGACATGGGAGCATTCTTAGACATGAAGAATACACATTTGCGCTATTTTTATTGGAATCTCTAGCTACTTTCTCCAATAATAAATGCTCATGTTATGTTTACTCTTTGATCAAACTTCAGAGGTATGAAATTGTTATATTTGTCCCTTCACCTAATCATGAAATACATTTTCTTAATGTGTCCAATATATAAAAGTATATTATAAATTGTATCACTCTAACCTAGAAAAATAACTGTATTGGTTTATCATTTTTAAAATCATCTTTATTTAGGTTGCAAATATATAATTTAGGTACCTAATATTTTATTTGATTGCATTTGAAGTCTCATAGCTTGCTATACACAACATTGCCTTTTTCAAACTGCTATATAAGAACACTATAAAATACAACCTATAACATATATATTGCCTCTCCATATTATGATTAGAATGTTAAAACATCAGTATAGTCCCAGTCCTGGTAGGTCCACTGGTTAGAGCATCATCCGAATACACACAGGGAGCTGGCTGATGCCCCATCACGCACATACAGGAAGCTCCCAAGGAATGTCAATAAGTGGACCAACTAACTGATTGCCCTCTCTCTCTCTTTCATCAATAAAAATAAAGAAACAAAACAAACAATAACATTTATTTGAAAAAGGAAGTGAGTTACTTGCCACATATCTATTTTTTAATGAAGAATGATAAAAATGGTTACCTATGTATGAAAATTAAGAGTAGCTTCAAAGCTTGAGTAATTTGAAACTTTATGAAAAAGTTCCTTTGTAAATTGCCTGTTATAAAATCATTCACAACAATGCAAAGCACAACATGGAGAATATAGTCAACAATATTCTAATAAATATGCATGGTGTCAGACAAGCTCCAAATCCTTGGGGGTGGTCACCTCTCAAGCTATACACAGGTCCAAACAATATTGAATGTCAACAGTAAAGAAAAAACAATTTTTTAAAAGTTACTTTCAAAATAAGTTATCTGAAAATATCATTGTCACATTTTTCTATGGCCAATTTATTAGTGTCCAAAATCTTTCTCAATGTTCAATATTAACAAAACCTGCATTCAAATTCTCATTATACAAATAAAAGCCAGAAGCAAGAATTATAATATGTCATTTAAAATGTAAAGTTTGCCCTGACTGGTGTCACTCAGTTAGTTGGACATCCTTTCGTAAAAGGAAATGTTATGGGTTCTGATGCGTGGGTCACTGGCCAGCAATAATCATGGAACGCTGCGGATGGCTCCTCGAAACTCAAGAAAAACATACACAGAGACAACCAGGTCCTGTGGGGGAATAGGAACAGCAGGGCCATTCCTCACATGGGGAGCGCTTGGCCACCCTTTCTCCTGGAGAGCGCCATGGCCACCCTCCCTGGTGGGGTGAGTGCGCTATTACCCCTCCAGAGAGGCTTTTTATTGGTTTCATTTGCATAAGAATGCAGGTAAAAGCTCATTACTCATTGCTAGGAAGTAAGGATCAAACAGTAGAAAACAAGGAAGTCTGAGGGCCTATTTTGAGTCAGAGTCAAAGAGTTGTAAGACTTTGAGGAACAAACTAACTTCCTCCTTGGACTCTTATCATTGAACTGAGAGCATTCTAAACAAAGAAGGTTTCACAGTAAATTACATGTTCTTTCTTAGGCCTGATCACCGGGGGAATCCGCCCTCTTCAGCACAGAGCTGCACCACCCTGTCATTGTTTCAGGCTTAGGTGGAGCAAGGGAACTAAGGCAACCAAGAGAGAAGGAGATTTTCTCCCAGAAATGAGAACTCAGGCTATATCAAAGCCGAGGAGCGAGGGTCCATCACCCTCTTTTGCTGTAGCCCCCAAAGTCCTTCTTTTGAGGGCCTCCCATGTGATCGTGCCTGTCTTAGATCATTCCCCCCTTGGGGAATCTTACCCGTCTTTCGCTAACCAACCAAGCTTTGGGGTTCAGTTTTGTATTCATAACTGAAGAAGCAGTGAAGCAGTGCTCCTGCCAGGGAGATAAGCTTTTGTCTCCTTGCTGGCTTACAGTTCCAAGGGCGTTCCCTTAGTCTTAGCCTAGGTGGGGGTTATAGCTTCTGATACCAGGCAGGGCAGTTCCCAACAGGGTTTGATTCCCAGTCAGGGCACACACCTGTGTTATTGCAGGATTGGGCCGGGATCGAGCATAAGAGAGGCAACCAATTGATGTTTCCCATTCTTTCTCCCTCTCTTCCTCTCTCTCTAAAATTAAATCAATTGAAACTTGAATAAATTCATAAAATAAAATATAAAGGTTTATACTTTTATTTATTCTCCCATGGTAGCACAGTTGTAGATTTGTAGTTCTCTTAAAAGTCTTGTGCATCTCACAGACATGCAGGGGTCTCTTTCTGATATTCTGCCACCCTTGATGGTGCTGGTTGGCTTCTTGCACATGCACCCCTGCATTTTCAACTGTGGCTTCTATGCCATCACACCTCTTTGCTCATGAATTATCATTCCCAGACTTTTGAAAAGTTTACTAGTATCCAGAATATCAGCTTACAGTTACCTAGGAGAAGACTGTCTCATGAATAAGGTGGAGGTCATCCTCTGTAATTCCCTCAACTTGCACCTGACCTTGAGGGTGAGTTTAGCTTTTCCAGAACACAAGATTCCTTTCTTTGAGCTCTCCTCAGGAATTCCACCAGATGCTCTGGCACAGGCTTCCCACTCATTCAGAACACTCTTTCTCTTACTCAGAGGCTGGCTTTTGGAGAGTAATGTTGTTAATTCAGCCACTAAGAATTAACCTGTATTCCTTTCACATTGTTCGCTGAGTTTTGTAGGAGGAGATATGGACTGTTTCAGAGACTTACCTGTTTCTTTGACCATTTGTTTATAATATTGTTGGTTCTGCTGCAGCTGTTGCCTCAAATGAGGTGATTCTTGAGGTGTTCCACATTAATTCAGAGTCCTTAATTTTTTCACACAAGGTTGTCTGATCTTTGGGTGTTGGATATGCTGGGCCAGATGGGTGGGGTGACCAAGAATTCCTGGACCTCAGGAAGTGGCTGATTGCCTATTCACTAATGTCATCAGATGTTGGTGGGCTGTGCAGTTTACTTAGCTGTCACCTCCCCCTCTAACTGGGAGCCACTTTAATTGCTTTCACCAGTACAAATTAATTTGACTTAATTTCTCATAACATTTTTTTTCATAGAATTTTTTGAACATTTTCAAAATACATCCATGGATTGGACTGTCCCAGAGAAATAATACTAATTCTTGGGTGTGGACAATTGGCACAACTCTCTCTTCTGAACTGTAAGTTTCTTCAGAACTCATATGTTATTCTCTCATGCTTTCAATTCAGGAATTAATCTTAGAAACAAAAGGCAATGGGTAAAAAGTATGTGAAGAAATATTTAAGTGTTTTTTTAGAAAAACTTTAAGAAATATTCAGATTTACTGTGTAAATATTATTGTAAATATTTGTTTGTTTAAATATTGAGTTATATATCCTCAGATTAATGATTTATTATTTCTGCATTTCAGATTTACAAAAACTTCAGAGTTGGACAAGAATTGTGTATATTGGAATTATGACACACACAACTTCCATTCTGAATCCTGTCTAGAAAACAGAGCATATATTTGTAAGCACCAGTCACATTAGCTCACTAAATTTGGTATCATGTTCCTCTCACCATCTCTAAAGAACACATTTCTAGTTTCTCCAAGAATGCTACAATTATTTTTGTAAAACTAAGTTTTAAGAATTATTTTGAAGTCAGTTTTTTTTTTCACCACAAAAATAAAAGGGAGGCACTGACATTTTCCATGTTCCCCTGCATGCAGAGCATCCCCATTATCAGCATCACTCAGCAGAGTGGGATGTTTGTTACTGAGAGTGAGTCTGTCCTGACACATTGTAGTCACTTAAAGTCCATACTTTATCTGATGCTTATTCCTTGGTATTATAGAATTGTTTTAATATTTATATGTTCATCTTTAAAACTATATTTCTATGAGCATATTAAACATATTAAAATCTTGTTGTTAATTAAAATATATCAAGTATAAATTATGAATTGTAATATCAAGCACTGTTATTTCTAAGTCTAAACTAACATGAATAATTGTAGACACAACTTCAATATAATTTTCGCCAGCCTTTGAATGTTGAAAATGAGGACAGAACATATCAGGGTATCAAAGATGTGTAAGGCAGTGGAGTCAGGACTGAGAAACCAGGGATGATTTAAAGAATTATTAAGCATTTTAGGTGGATAGCATACAGAGAGGGGTAGAAGAAAATTGCAAAATGTAACAAAGGGTTAATCAAAGAAGATTACCAAAAGGAAGAATCATGTATGATCCAAGGCTGTGTCCTCAGGGATGGGTTTCAGACTCATGTCACTGCAGAAAACTCCATGGCAGACACATTCACTGGAAGGCTCCAGGAGAGAGCAGTTCCCAGTTTGCAGGCTGATGTGGGTGAGTCACAGTGTGACTAGCAAGTAGAAAGACCTCTCTGACAAAGTGTCAGAGGGCCCAGACTAGAAAAGGAGAACTCTGGTTGTGACTAGTCCCAGAAACTTGCTGGAGGGTGAATACCACCAGAACTTCCTGCATGCATGCAGATGTCAGCCACAGCACTGGAGCCACAGGAGAGAAAACAGCTTGAAACCCGGAAGAGGAGTCCTTTCTCCCAGGGCCCTTCCTGACAAAACTTCAAGTGAGCTGACTGGAGAAGAGGTTGTAGGATCTTGTGCCATGATCTCAAAAAGTGCAAAACATATAGATATGGGAAGAGAGAACTAAACTCTTAATTGGCAGCCCCTGTTAATATGCAACAACGCAGTTTCTATAACAAAAGCCATGTGACTACAGTCCACTTGCTCAGAGAACAGAACCAACACAAATATCTTCTGAATCTATTTCATGCATCATTATCAATGATTGTAGTCATTTTTTGGTGGAGACTAGTAGTTTCATTGGGCAATAATTAGTGTCTTTTGACATCTCATATATATTGTTTTTTTTTTTCCTTTACTGGATTTTAGTTATTTTTGAAGGTACCTTGTTTTATTAAATTCTTTGTCTTTCTCTTTTGACATTCTTAATTACTATGCTTAGAAACCTACATTGATAGAAAAAAATACAAGGTTAATAATGGGAATATAAATATTAAAAAGATAACATGTCCATGTGAATGAAAAATCAGTTATTTACAGAATGTGGGAAGAAATTTATTAATTTGACATCATTAAGTGATAGTTTTACTATAATTCCATTATAAATGGGAGAGATTGTATATTTGTTCTTTATAAGGTAAATAAATTAATAGTTCCCTATATTCATCTATTAGAATATGTAGTCTTTATTCTCTCTATATATATTCATTATATTCATATAGAGGAAAATGTGAATATTCAAACTTAATTCCATGTGATACATGTATTGAGTTGTATCTAATACCTGATGTTGTGTTACAAACAACCCAGTTGCACTGGCATTTACACACAACATTAATTTTACTCAATTTTTCTCAGTTACCCATGTGTGGATTGGTTGGTTTTCAGGTGATATAGGCTGAGCATGTATGGGCTTAGCTCCAGACCACAGATCAGTTCAGATTTTTCTTATACCTTTTATTCTCTGAACAATGGGCTACCTGACATGGAACCTTCTCGGAGCAGGGATTAGCCACTCTGCACAGAGCTAGCAGAAATATCTTATTTAAAGCCTATGCTCTGAATTCATAAATGGTTACTTTCCCAAACCTTATGTTAACGAAACCAGGCATGTGGACAGCCTTGTTAATTTTCTGCAAAGTATACTCTTGTCATAGTGGTAAGAGAAAGGAAATGTAGGTTCACAGATAAATAATATGATCTACAATAATAGCCATAGATACACGGGCAAGCCCTGGCTGGCATAGCTCAGTGGATTGAGCTCGGGCTGCGAACCAAAGTGTCACAGGTTCGATTCCCAGCCAGGGTACTTGCCTGGGTTGCAGGCCATGACCCCCAGCAACCGCACAGTGATGTTTTTCTCTCTCTCTCTATCTCCCTCCCTTCCCTCTCTAAAAATAAATAAAATCTTAAAAAAAAAATAGCCATAGATACACATGCAGACAGGAGTAGTACCCCCACAGTTATGACCCCTGTGGGGGTTATGGAAATCCCAGAGGTCAGAGTTTGACATATCCACACATACTACAGAGCCACATTGGTCCTCACATCATTTCAGTACTGCCAGGTATGTGTCCTTCTATTTTAAAACAATCAGTTTACACATCAATAGAGTCATCATTTAATGATAAGAATAATTTCTCAAATTTTAAGTACCTCTTGACAATATAGGGAAACAAGTAGAAATCATTAAACTTTTGAAAAGAAATCACCAAATGAAATGACCAGGAGAATAAGTCTGAATAGGATTAGTTCATCAATGCCAATATTAAAAAAAAAAGAAAAACAAAACAAAACTGGTCAGACTTCTTTGGATGATCTTGGAAAAATGGTGACTTTTGTGTATATGGTTAAAGACCCATTCGTCTCAACAACTGCTTCTCTGAAATATAGTGAGTCTGACAGTAGTATCATAGATATTGCAGAGTCTGTCTGAAATGCTCTGCCCTCACAGATGTTCAGTGTAAATAACAGAAAGAGAAATAAATGACAAGCTATGAGAATGGAGAATGTATTTGAGACCATATCACTTGTATGCTGTAATGATTACCATCAAACTTATCAATGTTGCTGGTTTTTACACCAATTTCATGTCTTCATCTGAATATCATATTCTCAGTGGAACCCAGTGATATTACAGTTTTCTCCCTCATTGCATTCACAGTTATTCTAACTTTGTTCAAATGCTTTCATGCAGTACTGATACCTCCAAATATGATATATTTTATTTTTATTTTATTTTTTAATTTTTATTTTTTATTGTGTTCAATTGCAGTTGTCCCCACTTTTTCCCCATTATCCTCTCCTGCCCTGCCCACCCACCCTGAAGTCTATCCCCATTCTGTTGTCCCTGCCCATAAGTCTTCTACTCATGTATTTTAATGTTTTCTGGCTTGCACCAACAATATTTCACCTGTGACAGTTGGAAGCTTAACCTCTGAAAACAAGGGGTCAACAGGACGGTCTTCTCTGGGAAGATCCAGGGAAGACTCTGGACCATGCATTTCTCTTACTATTGGGAGGAGCCTCAGTCCTTGGCATTCCTTGGCTTCTAGACATCTTACTCTCATCTCTGCCTCTGTCATCTCATTGTTCTCATACTGTGTGTCTGTCTCTGTGTCCAAATGTCCCTCTTCTTATAGGATATCATATAGATTAATTAAGACCTTCCTACACCAGTATGACCTTGTCTTAATTTGTTTACATTTGCAGAGGCCCTATTGAATAAGATCACATAACTTGGCCAGTTGCAGACATTAATTCAGGGATTGGAGGAGTGTGGAAATGATATAATAGAAAATGATTTTAAAAAGCTGGTTAATGTCTAAATCTTTTTGATATTAGTTATTTCTTTTTAGAGAGAGGGTGAGGGAGTGAGAATGAGAGGGAGAGAAACATCCAATATGGCTGCCTCTCATGCATCCCCTACTGGGGACCTGGCCTGCAATCCAGGCATGTGTCCTGACTGGGAATTAAACCAATGAGCCTTTGGTTCATAGGCTGCCACTCAATCCACCAAGCCACACCAGCCAGGGCTAATGTCTAAGTCTTTTGTCTGAATATATTTGTAACTGGAGACAGTATATGGTTTGGTGTTTCTAGAAACTCAATTCCAGCCATGTGTTTGTTAAACATTGGGACTCTAATGTGAAGGCTCTCAGAAGAGAGGGGGAAATGTCCTGTCACAAAATCAGAAGCAACAGTCCACTGAGAATCCATGTCTCCATGACATTTCAAGTCCTTCAACATTCTTAACACTTTAAAATATAACAAACATGTTTAGTATTTTTAAGGAAATTTAGTCCTGCTTTCCACAGTGAGTGCCCCAGTGAGCATTCCCACCAACAGTGCACTAGAGTTCTATTCTCCACATCCTCACCAGGACTTGTTGTTTGCTGATTTACTGCTGATGGCCATATGACAGTTGTGAGGTGACATCTCAGTGTGGTTTCAATTTGCATCTCTCTCCTGGCTAGTGATATTGAGCATTTTTCATATGTCTATGGGCCATCTGTGTGTCCTTGGAAAAGTATCAATTCAGCTCTTTTGCTCATTTTTTAACTGGATAGTTTGACTTCATGATTTTGATTCATTTACATTATTTATATACTTTGCAGATCAAACCCTTGTATGATGTGTCATTGGAAAATATGTTCTCATACTAAGTCAGTTCCCTTTTCATTTTCACGATGGTTTCTTTAGTCATGCAGAAGCTTTCTAGTTTGATGCAGTCTGATTTGTTTATTTTTACTTAATTTTCCTTGCACTAGGAGATACATTGGCAAAAGTATGGCTACATGGGATATCTGAAATTCTCCTGCATATGATTTCCTCTAGGACTTTTATGGTGTCACAACTTATATTTGTCTTTTATCCACTTTGAGTTTTTTTCTTGAATGTGGTCTAAGCTTGTGGTCTAGTAACATGTACCAGTCTTGTTCTCCCAGCTTCATTTATTGATGAGGCTGTGCACTCCATTGTATGTTGTTGCCCTCTTTTCAAATATTAATGGCTACTAAATACCTAACATGGAACTGCCTTTGATCCAGCCATTCCACTGCTGGGAATATATGGTAGGAATCCCAAGTCACCTATTCAAAAGAACTAATGCACCCCTATTCATAGCTGTGCCATTTGCCATAGGCA